ATTGTATAGAATCATACCACTTTGATATGGTATGTTTCTTCCCCACATCTCCAGTGTGGGTGCTTCCCCACTCTCTATACCCTCCCTAAAAAGATATGATGACTTAGAAGTTACAACTTTAATAGTTTAGAAAAGCTCTTGTAGGAAAAGAAATAACACAATGAATTATTACATACTTTCATATAATTGTACTGAACAATATAACTTCTTATTCAAAGTAGGTGCTAATCTTCTGATGCTCTCACTTATCCAGGTAATGTGATATCCATATCATATGAATTCAAAGTAGTTATCACAATAAATGCAGTCTTAAAAGAAGGCCAGGATTTTAAGTGGTCTTGGTACTATGTTATTTTTCTGAAAGTTAGGCATGATCCTTCTTATGGCTAAGTTAGAACAAAAAATGAATGGAATATTGATCCTTACCAAAGGGTGAGACTTAGTCTTCAGCATGGATCATAACCAAAAAATGAGGCACACAGTAAATGAAATTCCAAGTCAGAAACTGTTCTTGTACTTTTTAGAATCTCTTTATAAAGTGGAACACATTAAAAATGAAAGCATGGGAATTACTAACACAGAAAAGCAGTATAAGAGCTTAAAAGAAAGGAAAATACGACACACAGTGTGATAAAACATAACTTATTTTAATTAACTGGATACACAGGAAATCTTATAAAAGACCACAAGGGGGGCTGCCTGGGTGGCTCAGTCGTTAAGCGTCTGCCTTGGGCTCAGGTCATGGTCCCAGGGTCCTGGGATGGAGCCCCGCATCGGGCTCCCTGCTCCGCAGGAAGCCTGCTTCTCCCTCTCCCACTCCCCCCTGCTTGTGTTCCCTCTTTCGCTATGTCTCTCTCTTTCAAATAAATAAATAAATAAAATCTTTTAAAAAAAAAAAAGAAAAGAAAACAGATTTAAAAAAAAAGACCACAAGGAATTGAAAAATTACTTCTAATGATTACAAAGGGAAGTGGTCTTTTTGGATTATTTCAATGTGGAGCACTTGAAAACAACAAAGAAATTTCTGTTCAGTGGTAAATGTCTAAAAAAATCATTCTTTTTCTCTGAGTGAAAAATAACTACAAGAGGGGTATAATTCCATATAATATCTGGTATTTTTACCACCTGGGCTATTTCAATGTCTGCAGTGAAACTTAAGATACTATTCTTTATATTTAGAACAGGAAAGAATTACAAGGCCATATAACAACTTATTTTTAAATAATAACTTCTGGAATGTTTGCCCTTCCTATTCTTATTTCATAGCTGTCTCTGAAATTACTGTAAGATATTCTATAATATATAAAGAAAGTAATAAAATGGCAATGAAACTCAGGCAATCAGGTGACAGTTATTTAAATTCTTAAAACCTGCAACTTATATTTGGCAGGAATAATATTCTTTACATTGGACTTTTTTTTAACCAAACAGTAAATATTTTGGTAAAGTAGCTTCTCCATCTCTATCCCATAATTTTCAGCTTGATCCTTACTTTTCCACATATATTTACACACGTATTTTTTTTAACTGGGTCACAACTGGTACTCTGTGATAATGGGAAAATAAAACATGTTCTCATTTTTGTTCTATTAAATTCCAATTTTATTCTTTCCTGTAAATGCCCTAGTCTAACGCCCTTTCAATCAATTTATCCTTAGTTCTCATTGTGGGTTCTTTTTTTTCTCCTCTCAGAACTATTAGCCATAATATTTCTCCAAGGATATAGCAGTATCTTTCTACAGGAAGCCATATTCCTTCATTTGTTTCATGTGGGAGCTTGATGGCTTCATTCAAGTTTTCCCCCAATTCAACAGAGTTTGTTTTCTCAATAAAAACTGTCTTTTATACGTAAGTATGGCACCATTGACCAATGACCTAAGAATTAAAATAATAGCTAACATGTGTTAAGCAATTACTATTTGCTATGGCACCCTGAAAATCACTTCACATGCATTTTCTCTTTTAATCCTCAAAAACCACTCTCTCAAATGAGTGTTATTGTTCTCTCCACTTTTGCTTTTTAAATGGATAAACTGAGATAATGACAGATTTAGTTATTTATCCAAAATCAAACAGCAAGTAAGTAATAAAGCTAGACTGATGTGAGGCAGTCTGAGTCCAGAGGCCATAAGTAGGGCATGATCACCTACAATATCTTTCAGATTGATGTTGTGAAAAAATTCCCTCTGATTTTCCAAGTATACACCACATACACTGCCGTTTAAGTCTAAAACTCTAAGCAATTAGATATTGTAGAATTATTCCATGTTAAAATGAAAGTGCCCTACGAGAGCTACCTCTCTTTAAAATCTCAGCAAAAGTAACCCTATCGGAACATTTCTAGCTGGTCTAAAGGAGGCAAGTTTTACCAGTCACCAGAATAGAACCAGGGTATTTCCTTGGAATGAGAAATCAAGGTTATTTGCTATGTTGGAAGAGTGCTATCAGAATAAAAAGCTCTAAATCCTCAAGAACTTCAAGACAAAGAGAGAACTATGATGTCCCTCACAAGTTATATATAAGCATCTAGCACGTGGTGAGACAGGGTAGGTGCCATCTCTTTTTAAACTAATTATTTAACTCTCTTCATCGAAGGCATCAAATAATGTTTATAAAAAATACAAAAACTATGGGGTGGGGAATAATCTGCGCTTTAATAAATAAACAATCCTTATCGAAGGTTAGCAGTTAAAATTAAATTTGTTTTAAAATCACTGGTTTTGGGATAAAGCAAAGGAAAAATTTCTCATTTGGACATCGGAGGACAGTATCTAGTTAAATATAAACCAGAAAAATACATTCTAAATGGAATTTTCATCTATTGTGCAACGTTTTTACATTGTTTTAGTACAGGCTATCCTATCTTTCCTGCTTCCATTAAAAGACGAGTTGGAGGAGCGCCTGGGTGGCTCAGTCGTTAAGCGTCTGCCTTCGGCTCAGGTCATGATCCCAGGGTCCTGGGATGGAGCCCCACATCGGGCTCCCTGCTCAGCGGGAAGCCTGCTTCTCCCTCTCCCACTCCCCCTGCTTGTGTTCCCTCTCTTGCTGTGTCTCTCTCTGTCAAAATAAATAAATAAAATCTTTAAAAAAAAATAAAAGACAAGTTGGATACTCATCGATCTTTCTGGTGGCACCATACACAGATATCATTATAATATACCATACACCTACTGCTAGAAATATAAAATCTTTATAGGCATGAAACTGTTTACCATTTTATACTCATATTACTATACAACTTTTGTAGGGGAATAAAAGATTGTTGGTGAAGTGATGAATAGATGATCTCCAAATAATGACTAGTTATAGAACCATGGGAAAATCACTACTTGGGTCACAGCTTTCACTTCTCTAAAATGAAGTTGGATTAACTTTACCACAATGTGTCATGTTAAGCTAAAATCTACCAGGCTGTGGAAACGCTTGTCCAAAGCAGACAGAGAGGTCACACAAAAAAGTTCTCCGTATGTTAAAAGAATTAATCAGAACTAGTTCTCATAGAAGGCTACTCATAGCCAGGACTAGGTATGCATTAGTATCAAAAGATAGTTCCTTATAAGAAAAGTATTTCACGGGTGCCTGGGTGGTTGGTTAAGCGTCTGCCTTCGGCTCAGGTCATCATCCCAGGGTCCTGGGATGGAACCCTCCATCGGGCTCCCTGCTCAGCATCTGCTTCTCCCTCTCACTGTCCCTCTGTGCTCTCTCTCTCTCAAATACATAAAATCTTAAAAAAAAAAAAAAGAAAAAAATTCATTATCTTGGCCAAAGGAGGTAAATGAAACAAGTGATAAATACCATATTGGGAAGGACAAAAGTAAATGGGGGAAAAACACACAGAAGGAAGAGGAATAATCAGAATGAGCTAACAGCTGGATCACATCACTCTAGCATTATTCACAATAGAAAGTACCTCAAAGTATTCTTGACTATCAAGTGGAATAAAAAGTCACTTTCTGGCTAAACTGTTCAATCAAGAAGTTTGAACAAACTGTAGCCCATTCTGTTTAAATAAATTGTCAGGCTGAAATCACAAATGATAACATATTAAGATATCAAGGGCTCTAATTCCTTTCTTGTCTTTTAAATCATCACAAACATACTTCCCATTTTAAGAAAGGCAGTCTTTTAAAATCTATATATTAAAAATAAACACTAGCCAAGAGAAGCAGCATTACCTCAAAAAATGCTGGTAAGCTATGAGAAATTCTATTCAGCAAATTAGTATTTTCACTCAGATTTTCTTGTTGCATTTCTCACCGTGAACAACTCCAGCAATCTTAATACCCAAGCGAAGGCTTTCTCAAAAATTTCAAAACTGAATACTTTATAATCATTATAAAGTTCACAAATGCATTTGCAACACTCAAAAAGTACTGAGGGCAACCGCCTTAACGTCCATTTGATCTATAAATCCAGTTACGTATTCAACATTGACCGTTTCTGCTTTTAACAAGTTAGCAAAATCTGCGGAGTGAGGAGGCTCTACACAGAGTAACCTGTCAGATCAGCGGATTACAGTCCATCCTAGCAATTTACCGGGTTGGATTTTGTAAGGCCGGGCAGATAAACCGGACAAGCAGTTTTGCAATAATAACATGTTGACAGAATTTTTAGAATTACGCATGACTTTAAAACACACGCTTAACTTTAAAACCCGTCCCAAGATGATTGGAGAAACTGGAGGCCCCTATCCCAGGTGCTCTGCAAAGTTCCAAGCACTCCGAAGTCGGCGGTCCACGCGGATCCGAACACAGAACGCTCCCACCTCGTCCCGGCCAGACTGCCCCTCAAAGACGCCCGCCACGGAGCGGCCGGGCCACCGGCTGAGCGGCAGACCGCGGCGGGAAGAAGGGGCTAGCCCTGGTGCCCCGGTCCCCGAGGCGCGCTCGCGTCAGCGGCCGCAGCGCAGTGGTCGCCGAGGGGAAGGGCGCTCGGTCTCCGCCGAGCCCCGGAGCCCAGCGGGCCATACCCTCCGGCTGCCCGCACGCGCGAACACCCACCTGGGGGCGCTGGGCCGCCGGAGGCCCGCTCCCGGCTCCCGCCCGTGCGCACCGACGCCGCCGGCCGCATCGCAGCGGCCGAAGCCAGGCAGCCTGCGGACAGATGCCCGCGGAGCCTCGGAGTACGCTGCCGGAGCTGCTCCGCGAGCTCGCCTCTCCGCCACCGCTCCTCTTCAGAGCACCCCCGGCGGTTGTGGCCAGCGGGTCCGGAAACGCAGCCCCCGGGCTCAGGCCACAGGGCCACCGCCCGGCCTCGCTGGGAGGCTGAGGAAGTGAAACTGCCCTGGGGCTTGCGCTCGCCTGCTTTTTAGGCTGCTCGGGTTTCTCCTAACACTTTCTGGTCCTGTTCCCTCCTCACCTTTTCACTCGGAATACCTGAGAGCAACGTTACCTGTTACTCCAACTCTTGACCCATGCTAGATCTTCCACCATGCCCCCACTTGCGGGAAGAAATAGGGATACCAGAAGTCGACACTTGCTGGGAAAGGGGAGAAATAGATATATAGATCTGGTTATTTAAAGATACAAAGTTGCAGATGTAGACATACAAGTTGAATGTTTTTAATATTTCATTTTGCCCAGATTTTGTAGCCTAGAATCATAAAGTGGTTTAAAATCCCGTATAAAATTTATTTCCCTCTCCTGCTCCAAGGCAGAACTGGTTCCAGGAAAAAATTAGATATGGATTGAAATAGGTTCTCCAAATAAGAGTTTACTTTGCTTGCTTTGAAGACAGAAATACTAAGACTTTTCCCAGAACCTTAATATAAATGTCCCTTCTCTCAAGATCTCTAAATTAGTAATATACATTTGAAATTGAAAATACCTTTGAAGATCAAATTGAAGATTTGGTAATAATTCATGGCTTAAATGTCCCTCTCCCTTTTTTTAGAAAATAAATCTAAAAGGGAGAGCTGTGTAGCAACTATTTATCTCATGCAGTCTTTTTTAGTATCCAAAGTATCCAAATGTTAGCTTTTCTCAAATAACGCAATTTGTTTTTATAGTTTATACCATAATGAAGAAACCTTGGAGAAATATGTGAAATGACAGCAATTTTGAAACTATCACAGATATATTTTTCTGCTTTCCAATATTTCCTTTAATGTCATTATTAACTTTAAGTTGATTTTCTGTATTTGAAATAATATAGCAAGAGATTTTATCTAATTCATGAAATAATATATTGAGAAGTTTGCTGTCTTCTATAAATACCTGTTTACTAAGAGATCTCAGTACAATAAGGTAAAGACAGAGGGTTTGGTTTGCAGGGAACATATAAACCCTTGGAAAATATTTTTAGAAATTCAATTCTTAGGAATATGTGAGTCTTTATAAAACAACCCACTGAGGAGACAATGTCCTAACTGATACATTTGCATATATATTCATATATGTATATGTGTGTGTGTCATATATATATATGTATATGTCTGTGTGTCTATATATATAGAGAGAGAGAGAGACACACACACACAATCTTAGACTATATATTCTTCACAAATACTTCAACGATGATTTTGAGGAGAAAGGAAGAGACATAAACATTCCACCTTATGCTTCCCAATTAAGGGTCCAAATCTTCAAAGGCATTTCAGTTTGTTCCATGGAAATACACAATGCTCACTCCCTCTATGCGCACAAAGATTTGTTAATAAGGATAGTCTCCAGATAGCAAATTGTATCTGTCACATGTATGGAGTCACTTTCCTGTAGGAAGAGCCCTGGACTGGAAATCAGAAGGCTATGGTTGCCATCTTGCCTGTCCACCTTGCTATCTGGGCAACCAGGGCAATTCTGAATGTTGCTGAGCCTTGTACAATCGCTAAACGAGGAACCTGAAGTAATTATATTCAACTCTCTGCTAGCTCTACAACTTTATGATACTGTTTTCTCTAATACGCATAGAATAAGATGTAAAATACACAAGAAAATTAAGTATATTTTCAGATCATCACTTGGACAATTTACATCAATATAATCCTGGTAAACGGAAAAATGAAAGCAAAAATGTGTTTAAAATTTGGGGCTGATTTTTAAAAACTATTTTACAAGGCTTTGTGCTAGAAAATACTAAAAAAATCCTCCACTAAAGTTCAAAAATTATTCCAGCTTTGTTTTATTTTAGGTATCTTGTTCAAAGTTATGAAGTAATGTTGAGTTCCTTTACCTGTTTATTCTTGTGTTTCATTACCGTTGCTGTTAGCAGCTACCCTATTTTGTTTTGTATTCTGTGTGCCAAACACTATGTAAGTATTTCACAATGTTCATGTCCTTTGATTCTCAAAATAATGTGGCTTTAACCATATTTTACAAATGAGGATTCTGGGTTTTAAAAGTTTTGAATAACAGAGGTAGAATTTAATCCTAGATCTGATTCCATAGCCTGCCCTCTTATTATAATCCTCCCCTTCCTTTTAAGGTTATATAAAGTCATTGCTAAGGATTACATAGACATCACGGGCAAGGTTATACCTATATCCATATCGAAAAGTTGCTTTTGTGTTCCTACCTACTTTCCCACAGGAAATAATCTCATGGAAATAAACATCTGTATCTTTAAGAATAGGCATGAACTGCACTCATAATTCATTATAATGTTGCCACTGTTTGGGTGAAGGTATGTAGACATTGTTTTCACAAGGACAGGAAAATGTGTAGAGATCACAGATACACAGAGATGCTATGGCCCAAGTCTTACATGTATTCTAACTGCCTGTGCATTTATGAAAAGATATTTTAGAAATGTTTTCACTCATTTGGTCTTCTTTCTCAGTGTCAAGCACATTCTTTAGTCATGGTTGACTTTATTTTCCTGTGTTTTCTCCCTTAAGGAAATTATACTGTCTGAAATGTTGGGTTATCTCTTGTTTCACATTTGTTCTCAGGGAAGAGGCACTCAGTAATTCTCACACTGAGATGCTTTTTCAGGCAGAATGCCACCAGCAGCATGTAATCGCAGATTTCTGACTTTACCTGTGTTACAGAATGACAAAAAATGCTAGCCACAGTTGGTTTCTTGTTTCTCAATATAACAAACTCTTGGATCCATTGACTTCTTCCCTTGTATTCTTTTTCTAGAAGCATATTGAATGCCTCAATATCATTACCCCACTTGGTGAAAATTATAAGAGCCTCATGCTGACTCTGTATTCCAATAAATGGACAGCTAAGGCTATTCGCTGTTGCCCTGTTGTAGTTGCTATGGCTGATTCCCTGTACCCTTTGCAGACTGAATGCTTTTGCTAATGCTGTTGACTTCATTTCTACTTTTAGATTCTGGATTCTTTTAAAAAATAAAACTGTTTTTTGTCCCCCCTAAAGCAGTAACCTGTTGTAAAAGCAAAATAGTATTTTGCTTCTTCTTGGTTATATATTAATGGACAATTTTCCTTTTGAAGAACATGTCCAGATCTTTAGACAATGAATTATATGTTATTCTCATAGGATGTTATACTTCTCATTTCCTAGCTCAAAACTGGATGAAATACTCAGAAGGTTTGAAGGAATTTCCTAGCAATAAAACTTATTTTGTTGTTATTGAGAGGCTTTCTTCATTTTCTTATCTTTTCCCAGGTTTAACTTAATTATTTAATACTAACCTAACTGTGTAGTGGTCTCCCTAAAGATGTCCACATTTTAATCCCCAGAACCTGTGTATATGTTACCTTACATTACAAGGAAGATGGGACCGAGTTAAGGATCTTGGCCTGGGAAGAGTAAACTGGATTATCCAGGTGGGCCCAATATAATCACAAGGGTATTTATAAGATGGAGGCAGAAAAGTCAGAGAAGAGACATAGTGAAGAAACAGAGATTGGAGTAATGTGCTTTGAATATGAAGAAGGGGACACAAATGAAGAAATGCAAGCAGCCTCCAAAAGATGGAGAAGACAAAGGAAATGGGTTCCCTGCAGAGCCTTCAGAAGAAACCAGCCCAGCTAACACTTGGGTTTTACCCAAGTAAGACTGATTTTGAACTTTTGACTTCCAAACTGTAAGATAATAAATTTGTATTATTTTAAGCCACTAAGTTTGTAGTAATTTGTTATAGCAGCAATAGGAAACTAACATACTAACTCGTGATAAAGTGAGTGTTTGGGGAAAGTCATTAATAAAAAATGTATATTCTTCTAATAAACATATATTAAAGAACAGGCACAGCAAAATACACATTTGTTTCAAGTGCACATGGAACATTCTCCAGGATAGATCACAAAGTAATTATTAATAAATTTAAGAATATTGAAATCATATTATGTATCTTTTTTAACCACAAGAGTATGAAACTAGAAATCAGTTACAAGAAAAAACACAAACACGTGGAAGTTAAGCAACATGCTACTAAACAATGAATGGGTCAAGAAAGAAATTAAAGAGAAAATAAAATATACCTGAGACAAATGAAAATGGAAACACAATGGTTCAAAATCTTTAGGATGCAGGAAAAGCAATTCTAAGAGGGAATTTTATAGAAGTATAGTCCTACCACAAGAAATAAGAAAAATCTTAAACAATATAACTTTACAGTGAAAGGAACCAGGAAAAGAAAAGCAAAGCCCAAAGTTAGTAAAAGAAAGGAAATAATAAAGAACATAGTGGAAATAAAGAAAGTAGAGACTAAAACAAAAGAAAAGATCAATGAAACTAACATCTGGTTCTTTGAAAAGATAAACAAAATTTATAAAATTTTAGAGAGACTCATCAAGATGAAGAGAGAAATGAATCAAATAAATAAAATCATAAATGAGAGAGGAGGAGTTAACTGACACTAAATTTTTTTAAAAAGTATGAGATCACTATAAAAAATTATGCCAAAAAATTGGACAACCTAGAAGAAATGGATAAATCCCAAGAAACAAACAATCTTCTAAGACTGAGGCAGGAAGAAATTGAACATCTGAATAGACTGATTATTAGTAACAAAATTGAATTGATAATTTAAAAACTCCCAACAAATTCCGGGACCAAATATCTTCACAGATGAATTCTATCAAACATTAAAGAAGAGTTAATATCTATCCTTCTCAAACTATTCCAAAAGACAGAAGAGCAAGGAAAGCTTACAAATTCTTTCTATGAAGCTAACATTAGCCTGATACTAAAACCAGACAGACATTACCAAAAAAAAAAAAAAAAAAAAAAAAAGGAGATTTCAGGCCAATATCACTGATGAACATAGATAGAAACACCCTCAAAAAAAATTAGCAAACTGAATTCAATAATATGTTAAA